CATACAGAATAGCTTTGCTGCTCTAAAAATCTCCTGTGCTTCACTTAATCATCCTACCCCATCCTCCCCAACCCCTGGCAATCGCTGATCTTTTTATTCCAAAACTGTGCCTTTTCCAGAATGCTATAAAGTTGGAATCATATAACTATGTGGCCTTTCAGATTGGCTTCTTTCACTTAGCAATATGCAATTAAGGTTCCTTCATGTCTTTTTGTGGCTTGGTACTACATTTTTTTCTCTCTTTTTAATATAATTTTTATACAATTTTAGGTTTATAGCAAAAATAGAAAGGACAGAGTTCCCTTATGCTCCCCATTACACAGCTTTCCCTATTACCAACACCCACTCCAGAATGGCACACTTGTTGCATCCTTGACGGCATATGATGTATGGCATCTTTTCATACACTATTTGCCTCCTGTATATCTTTATTGGTGAGGAGTCTGTTTAGATCTTTTGACCATTTTTTAATTGAGCGGTTTGATTTTTTTATTGCTGAGTTATAAGAGTTCTTTGTATATTTGGATATGTCTTTTATCAAATATGTGTGTTACAAATATTTTCTCCAAGTCTTATTCTCTAACATTGTCTTTCACAGAGCAGACATTTTAATTTTATTTTCATGAAGTCCAACTTACCATTTTTTTGTCCATGCATCATGCTTTTGGTGTTGTAGCTAAAAGGGTGTTTAAATATCTGGGAAGCAAGACTTTAAGAGATCATTGGACTCCAGAAGGAAGCTTGAAAATCCTAGGGAGATCTCATGAGTGGGACTTTTAGCATCTGAAGGTGGCTGCTGGCTCTGCATCAACCTGAACAATAAACACCAAATATCTGTAGACCTTCCCTGCCTCTCCATCAGTGCACTTGGACCGACCATGTCATCGCTTCCATCTTCTCGCGTGGACTCCACCAGTTTGACCTTTGTGAGAAGGAAAGATTTAGATTTCGTTTTTGGATATATCATTACTTCTTAATTCTTGATGATTTTTCTAAGGCTAACAAAGTATTTAAGTCTTTCCAACAAAATTGTTCAGTCAATCCAGTCTTCCTAACACGGAAATAGAGATAAACAACTCTGGTTTATTTTTTTAAAATATTTAAAAAATGATGCTCAATCTCTGAGCCACATAGGCTGGGCTAAACTTTTTTTAAAACTTGATTCTTAAGAAGTTTCTGGGGGAAGCAGAGAAGCTGTGGTGACCCTCAAGACTTTGCAGGAGCTCAGAAGCAATATGAGCAGCGGAAGGCTCTTCTAGGCACCTCTTCTTGGTTTCTCATCACTGCTCAAGTGTCTGCATCTTTTCACATCCTCTGGTCTCACATTTATAGGCTCACCTCTGTCCTTGCCTCTAGAGCTGGTCCTGACTCTCTGCTGGAGGGGTTTCTGAGGCCTTGCCCCATGTGGAGGATACAGCTGCAGGTCATCCTTGGCACCCGTGTGTTCTGACTTGAATTCTGATAGCAAGACACTTGCTTTTGCGGTAGAA